TAGAAATGTTTATGAAAGGAAGGCCATTCAAAAGAATTAATGAAGAGGAAGCCAAAATATTATTTCGCTAAATTTCAAATGCAGTTTCTTACATGCATGAACAAGATATATGTCATAGAGATCTTAAATTTGAAAATCTTTTAATAGATTATAATACTAGAAAAATTAAACTCATAGATTTTGGATATTCTATCAAAATTAATGGGAAACAAACTTGTTCATGTGGTACTCCATAATATATGGCTCCTGAATTAGTAAAAAAAGGATCATATGATTAATCTGTTGATATATGGGCTTGTGGAATTATCCTATATAAAATGGTAACAGGTGTATTCCCGTTTAGAGGAAATTCAGAAAAAGATTTATCAAAGAAAATTTGTTTAGGAAAAATAGAGTATCCAACATTCGTTTCAGTTTAAGCTAAATAATTAATATCATCTATGTTAAAAGTAGATACAAAAGATAGAATAACTATGCAAGAAGTATAATAAAGTTAATGGTTATAATGAATATATTTATCATTATTTTTATTATTTCGTTTTTTAATTAAATATATATTGTTATCACTACTTTATCTATTTTTATATTTATATATAAATTATTTATTTAGTGTTTATGATTACTATTAAATAATATTTAATAGAGTAGTATATAAAATTTCAATTGATTTATGGAAATAAAAAAACAATTTTGAAAGAAACAATATAATATATATCTATCATATAATAGTAGTACATATATATATATATATCATATCATTTAATATTTTTACATTTTAGAGCTATCTCTAACAATTTAAGTTATTTTTATTTTTCTTTATTTTCTTATATTGTACTTGAAGGTGTTTTTCTGTATAATAAATCATATGCATATCCATTATCTCGAGCTTAATTGATATTGCTTATTGTTTATTATAATTGAATCTAATATTTAGCTTATGTAACAGATTTAGGAGTATAGAGACTTTGTTTTGTATCCGTTAAATTATTATTACTAAATATTCTATTTATTTGTATAAAATGTTTAGCTTACTATTCCTATTAATCTTTATTTCCATTAAACTCATCTGTTTTATAATGTTATTTCTTATATTTTTATTATTAGATGATGAATTTTGGAAATTTAAATTTAGTTTATGTTTAACTTTTGGAATCATGAATTCCACTTTATTGAATTTAATTATTTTATGATCTCTCACTATTAATTTTTTATACTTATTATACATCAGATAATGGTTATAATTATCTTCTTGATTTTGGTATTGTTTGATAATTATCTTTAATATCCAATTAGAGTTTGAATTTATTTTTTTTGAGTTCTTATTATTACTTTTATTTTTCTATAAGTTATTATTATTGTTTGATAAATCTATCATCATTTGGATCAAATGCTCTGTGAGTTTCATATTTATATTACTCATTTATTGATAGAAACTCCATCACTTTTTTCAATTCCTCTATTGTACTATTTTATTTTTTCTATATCCTACACTTTAAAAATTATGATGAATTCTCTTTATCAGAAAAGAGATCTAATATACATTTCAATAAAGACTTGATTTTGATATAAGCAATTTTTCGGTATCATCTTTTTTTTAACATAAGCTATAACTACGGAGATTTTAATGTAAAGGTGCTTTATCTATCTTCTCTTCCTTATTTCTTTTAAACTTTATACTATTAAGTTAATCGCCATCATCCAGCCATCCTGAGATTTCCTCTTCAATCATTATACAAATAAAATTAGTTGTTAATAAATAAATTAATATCATTTATCTTCTAATATAGGTTTGTTAGTAAAAATTGATTTATTTTATTATTCTTAAAAATCAAATAAATCAATTATATTCAATCAATTTTTCAGTATATTTCATTAATTAAATCTAAATAGAGAATTAAATAATCCTAATTTGTTTTATATGTATTTTATATATAGATTTTGAGAATTAAATAATTATTTAAGTAAATTACTATTTATTAAGACAATTAAAATTAATTGAAGCACAATGACTTTAAACTTCTATTATTGATTTTACAATATTAATTTATATTTTGTTTATTATTTTTAACTGAATACATCAATATATATATTCAATTTGTACTAATTAATAATGTATATTTAAATTATTATTTGTTTATCAAAAAGAATAACAATATAAACTATCTTATTTAAAAAGAAAGAAAGAATATAAGTATAAGTATAAGATTTATTTATTTGGATTTAACACATTATCTATTTTATTACTATGCTATTATCTGTTATATATTAATAGTATATTTATTAATTCTAATTGAAATGAAATAACAGAAAATTTATTTATTATTGCAACAACGTTTTTATTATAATAAAAAAGATTATTTAATATTTACACCAATTCTTAAGAATGAATGGACAAGTTATTATTAAAATACACTCAAATTTGAATGAATAAACAACAGAGATATGATACGTAAATATAACAGAAAGTACTTAAAAGCGGATATTAATGAAATAAAACCGAATTCAATTTATTATTTTATTAAAATATATGGGTAATACGTGCAAAAATATTTGTAAATAATAAATAGCAGAAAAAGAATTTAATATTAACTCAATTAAAAAAGTAAAGTTATAAAAGAAGTAAGATTCAAGTAGAGATTCAAAAACTGATCCATATTGTTCACCATAATCTTTAATTAAAGAAGAATCAATAGGAGATGAGTCTAAAATTAGTCATAATTAATAAGATCATCCTTAATTTGTTCTTACAAAGGAAATCAATGGAATTATTATACCTACTGATAGATAAAATCGTTTTTTAAATGATTCAGAATTGGAAGTAAAGTATTTAATACATCAAAAGTATATTATAAATTAAATATTATAAGGTGGTTAAAAGAATAAGAACAATTATAAAAAGAATTTGATATATAAAAGGAATTACAAATAGAGAATAGATAATAATTAGAAATAGATATATCCAATTAAGAATTAAAAAATTAATTTTCTTTCTAAAATTCATATAAGATTGAATAAACATATGTTTAATCAGCTTCTAATCCTTATTTACCTAGATAAACATCATAATTTGCACCTAAAAAAGCAGATTGTGACACACTTTCATAAAAATCTCAAATTTCTAAAAGTCCAACTACTCCATTAAAAGATTAATAAGTGTTATTATAAAGTGATATAATTAGAAAAAGTGCCTTAAAAAAGTTAAAATAAAGTAGGGAAGATATAGCAAGTAATAATGCTAGTATAGGTACTTCTAAAAAGGGGATAAAAAAGAAATAATAATAAGATTCATTTGAAAAGTTGTTTAGTGAATGCCATTCTTTAGATGAACATAGTTAAAGTGGAAGTCATAAGACAAATAGAAGTGTAAAAAGTATATTAAAAAAGAATAAATCATATTCTTAAAGTTTATCAGTGAGAAAGAATACAATAAAATCAACTCATACTGTTTTTAATAATAAATAAACTAAAAAAGTTAGATTTTCTAATGATACTAATTTCAATAATGAAAGAAAAGGATTTTCTATAGTATAAAGGAATTGGTGGGAATGGTGAAATAAAAAAATGTTAAAATTTACAAATTTAACTTACTTTTAATATTTGATACTATTATTTTTTATATATATATATTAAATGTGTTAACTGTTTCATTAGTTATTTTGTGTTAATTTTTATTTGATTACATTTTCTAAAGTTTCTAAATCTTAAGCAAACTTTCTAATTCCTTCATTTAATTTTTCAGTACCCATTGCATCCTCTATTATATATTAATAATAATAAATTACAATTCATTTCCCATCTATAAGTTTTTTCATCTACTATAACTTTCTCAATATTTAAATTATCTAAATTTTCTACTTTCAATTTTGGTTCCAATACTGTTCCTTCTAAACTTTATAAATCATTAAGTAATTTAATTGGAATTGTCATTCTATCACAACCACATAATTCAGTAGCTTCATCTACCAAACGTAATGATGCTGCCTAAAATAATTATAAAATATTATATATACCATAACAATTGTATCATATTTGAATTTTTTAAAACTATTCCATATACTAGTTACTAATTTTACTCCAGGATGATTTTATTTAGAATAATCTTCACCACTCTTATTTTTAGTGAACCAATCTAAAATTCTACCTACAAATGGAGAAATCAATCTGACTCCTGCTTAAGCACAAGCTAATGCTTAATAATAATTAAATATTAATGTCATATTGCATTGTATTCCTTCTTTTTTCAATGCTTTAGCTGCTTATATTCCTTCCCAAGTACTAGCAATTTTAATAAGAATTCTTTCCTTAGTAATACCAGCTTATTCATATAAATTTATAATTCTTTTAGCTTTATCAATAGTTGCTTATTTATCATAACTCATACGAGCATCTACTTCAGTAGAAACATAACCTGGTACTAATTTAAGGATTTCCAATCCAAAATTGACACTCAATTAATCAGTTATCATTCCAATAACAATTTTCTGTTCTTCTGGATTTAATGTATTAAAATTGAATTATGGTATTTCTGGTTCAACTATTTCTTTAGTTTCAGGTTCATCTTTCTTCTTTCTAGAATTTGTTCTTTTTGGTTATTTTTAACTTAAAATTATATAAAAGACATACACTGGTTATTTGGAGACTTAATAAGATTTGATTCCTTTTTGGATAGCATCATCAATTAAGGCTTAATATTCTGGTAATTTGGCAGCTTCAAGAATAAGACTTGGATTAGTGGTGGCATCTTAAGGTTAGAATTTTTAGATGTCATTGATCTTGCCTGTATCTGCTACTACCACAGTATGCTAAAATGAGTATAGATAATAAATACATCTCTAAGAGAATTAAGAGCATTTGGATTTGATTTAACTTTCTTAGATGGTGAAGAACCATCATGTTATACTTCAGCAGCGTCCATAATTAAATAATAATACTTTAACACATTAAAACAATTTTGAGTGGAATTTATACTAAATTATATTTAATAAAATTGCGCCTAAAATATGAGTGCAGAAAATGATATATAAGAAGAGAGAAATAATGAAGAATAGTATAGAAATTGGAAATAGAACATACCATTTATGTATGAAATATGTATCAATCATTAAAATAATTGGCCATCTCTTACAGTTTGTTGGTTGAATGAAATAGAAATGTTTTATTAATTATTATCTTAGTGATCAAAATGATAATGAAATACATAGATTGATAGTAGCTACTTAAACTAATAATTAAGAATAGGATTATATAAAATTGCTTAAAGTAGCTATTCCATAAAAAATAGATGAATAATTAGATAACACATTGTTAAATAATATATGTATATATAAATTAAAATTGTAAGGGAAAACATAATCTGTAGGAAAAGTGTAAGAAGAATTGTAAATATCAGTGGAAGTTGAAATAAATAGAGTTAGATAATAACCAAATAATTAATATATTTTAGCTACTTAAGCAGGAGATGGTGAAATTGGTATATATATAAATAGAAATAGTTAGGTATTTATGATTTAAGTAAATAATCAAAAGTATAAGTTTTAAAAGGATAGAAAAAAGAAGGTTATGGTTTGTCTTGGAATCTTAATAATTTTGGTCATTTATTATCAGCAAGTTATGATCATAATATATATTATTGGGATACAAATACAGGATAATTAATAAAGTAATATAATTTTCATAAAGGAGAAGTTGAAGATGTTTGTTGGCATCCATAAGATCCAAACATTTTCATATCATGTTCTGATGATAAAACATTTGCAATGTATAATATATTCTAATATAATTTAGTTGTGATATTAGAACAAGTTAAGGAATTACAATATAATAAGAAGCACATGAATAAGAAGTTAATTGTGTTTAATTTAATAATTTCTAATCTAATTTATTTGCTACTGGATCTAATGATGCTTAAGTTAAAATGTTTGATATTAATAAACCAGAAGAAGATATCCATACATTTTCAAATCATGAAGATGCTATTTATAGTCTTTAATGGTCTCCTCATTAAAAAAATTTACTTGCATCTGGTTCTGTTGATTCTAAAATTATTGTTTGGGATTATTTTAAAATTGGAAATGAAATTAAAGCTGAAGATGAAAAAGATGGTCCATCTGAATTATTAGTATATATTTATATTAATTAGTTTTATCATGGAGGACATAGATCTAAAGTAAATGATTTATCTTGGAATGTTAATCATAAACATTTATTGGCAAGTGTAGAATAAGATAAAAATATATTATAAATATGGAAAATATAACCATAATTATGGGAAGAAGATGAAAATGATGAATATATACAATCTCTAGTATGATAATGATATATTATTTATAATTTAATAAATAAATCAATTAAATATTAATCTATCTTTTTATTGATCTAAATATTCATTTAAAGGACCAATTATTTTTATATATGATTATAATTGTTATTCTTAAACTCTTTATAATACAGAATTAAATAAATTATCCTTTTTTATTATATAATTTAGTTTATCTATTTCATTATTTTATTCTTTCAATTATTTTTCTAAATGTTCAATATTCTTTTATTATTCTTAAATAATTGTATTTTATTCTTATTCTCTTAAAACTAATTATTAATTAAGACTTAAAATATATTTCTATATTATATAAATTATTATACATTTTATTCCTCTGTTAATTATAATATACTATCATTTCTATCTAATTTTTCAGTTATTGCATTTATTTAATTTTTTAAATTATTTGATATTTCTTATTAATTAACTAATTCTAATTTTTACTTTTAATTTTATTCTTCTAATTATTTAATTGTAATTTTTAATTTTTTAATTTATTCAATCAATGCATCATCTAAAGGTTATGATTTCTATTATTATTATTATTATTCATTTTATCTAAATAATAATATTTCTTTTTAATAATTTTGTATTTAAATCTTCATTTTTTAGATTTCTTCAAGTTATAATTTAATCTATGAATCATATTCTTTATATAAACTATTTTATAATAAAAATTCTTATTGTAATTTCATTAATTAATTCTAACTCTATTAGTATTATTCTATTAATGATTCCTTATCTAATTTTAATGTAAATAAATCTTAATTTTCACATTCTACTTGAGTAGCTACATCTATCATTCTTTTAAATGTTGGAGATGTAGGAAATTAAGATATTATAGGATAATCATGTTCTTATCCTACAGTTAGATAATGAGGATGAATCATTTATTTTTTATCTGAACTATTTCCACTCTATTCTTAATAACTATTTGATGATAATGAATATTATTAAGAATTATTTAAAGAACTTTTTATTGGAGATGGAGATGCTACATCATTTTGTAACAATATAAATTTTAATTACACTTTTATTTATGTTGAACATTCACTTTAAAATTCATACCATTATGTATATTCTTATTTATATTCTAATATCTCCCTCACAGATAATTTCAATCTACCTAATACCTAAAATATTTATAGATATATTTACAGACTTATCTGTTAAATTTTTTATGATCATGCTAATTAATGATTCTGGATCACTTAATGATATTTTTACACAATTATTTGAATCTGCAAATAATGCAACATCTATAAATTTTGCATCCTTTTTAATTAAAGAGTAATAACATCCTAAATCAGATATACTGTCTTGTAATTGTTAACATTATTAATCAATTATTTAAATTTGAACTGCTTTGTAATTATTCATTAAAATATAAAATAATCACTTTTTTTAACATTATTATTAATAAATAACAATATCATTAATATATATGTTAAATATTTATATATCAAAATCTGATATACCAATTAGAAGATTATTATTTAAGAATAAATTGATGTAAAACATATATATGATAATATTTAATAAATATATAAACTATTTAAAATTCAATCTATATTTCAATTTTTTTCATTATTGTTATTATAATAGCTCAAAAATTATTAATATATATCTCTAATTTATTTTCGATATTATAGGTAATTCATTAATAAAGCTGATATATTATTTATTTTTTATACTTAAATTTTAATCATGTTTAAGATTAACTTTAATATTAAGTTTTAGATAAATCTCTAATTTAAATAATAGATCTATTTTAGAATTAGCAATAATATGTTAAAATACTACAAATAAAATCTATCTATATAAATTAAGAATATTCTATAAATCAATCATATATAAACAGTTTTATAAGATATTTAGTTATTAAAATAATTTGATTTGCATTATATAATTAAATGCAATAAGTTTATAGAAGACACAGTCATTCATCTATTGATTCATAAGAAGAGTTTGAAAATATTTATTTACAATAATAATAATAATAATAATAATAAGTGTTAAATTATCCTAATTAAGATCTCAATGAAATCATTTTAAAAACATTATTAAGTGAATCAGAAGCTAGAGAATTAGAGGATACAATAGAAGAATAAAATATTATAACAATTGAATAGGAAATTGTTGATTATGATGCACATTTGGAAGAATTATTAAATAGCATTCATTTAAATGTTCTACCTCGTTAGAATTCAATCTAAATTCAAGAATATACATAGATATTACCAGTTGTATTGTAGATATAGTCTATAAAATCATAATTAAAGAAATAAAGAGCTAATATAGATTTAATGTGTGTAGTAGATGTAAGTGGTTCAATGGAAGGAGAAAAGATAAAATTAGTACAGAATTCTTTGAGATATATTTAAAAGATATTAAAACCAACTGATAGAATTGCTTTGGTGAGTTTTGCAACATAAGCAGGCATAAATTTATAATGGACAAGAAATCATGCTTTAAATAAGAGTAACATAAAGAAAGCCATACAAAATATTAGAATTAGAGATTCAACAAATATAGTATCAGGTGTAGCATTAGGTTTAAGAATGATTAGAGATAGAAAATATAAGAATCCAGTAACTTGTATGTTTGTATTAAGTGATGGTATGGATGATGATAAGGATGCTGAATTGAGATGTTAATATACTTTATAGTAATATAATCTATAAGATACTTTAACAATAAATACATTTGGTTATGGTTCTGATCATGATGCTAAAGTAATGAATTATATAGCAAATTTGAAAGGAGGATAGTTTGTATATATTGATTAGATTTAAAAAGTGTCTGAACATTTCATATTGGCAATGAGTGGAATGTTATCAGTCAAAGCTAAGAATGTGATATTGACAGTCAAATAATTAAATAATCAATTCAAAATAGCAAAGATATTTGGTGATGATTTTTTATGGGATAAACTAAATGATACTGATTATAAGTTAACTTTGAATTATTTAGTAGAAGAAGATAAAAAGGAATTTGCTTTAGAAATAGAAATCCCAAATTATATATAATAGGAATTAAAATAATAAAATTTATTGTAAATTGATTTATAAGGAGTATTTCTTGTATCTAATACTAATTTTAACAAAACATCCACTTTATTATTGGAATTCACTAAAGATCCTGTATTATATTAACCAGTAGAATTGGTTGAAGTTAATTATTTAAGAGCCAAAGCAGGTGATAGAATTGGTTAAGCAAAGGCATTAGCTAATAATAAAAAATATGATTAGGCAATTTAATTATTAAATAAAATGATTGATGAAATAGAAAGTTCATTATTTAAAGACAATAAATAATTAATTGTTGTTTTAAAAGATTTAAGTGATATAAAATTGATTTGTAAACCTTAAATGTATGAGAAAGATGGTGAAGCTATAATGTTATATAAATAAAAAAATCATATTTAAAGATAAAGATCTATAAGTAAAATTATATTATTATTAAGATAATTCTAATGATTGGTGTTAAGATGAGGAAGAATAAATGAATCAATATAGAAATGGTAATTTAGATTTGAGTGCAAGTGAAGGTAGTTATAAAAGTATTGGAAAAATCAAAAATGATAGTCATTCTTCAGGTTCAATAAAAAAGCAATTCTAAAATGAGAATGAATAAGAAATTGAAAAAGATGTATCAAGCCCTAAAGAAATATAGAGAAGTAGAACCTCAAGTGGTAGTTGTGATACATGTAGATTGAAACATTCTAGAAGTTCCTCTATGAGTTGATATCAATTTATTTAAATTATAATGAAATATTCTACTAATAATTAATATTAAAAACAATAAAAAATCATATACATAATAAGGTGATTCCTCAATTATTCTATTTCTTAAAATACTTAAATTTTGAATGTCCTACATTTATTAATTAAGATTATCGCATCAAATGAAAGTCGCTTGTTTAATTCTATTTTTTCATCTTTAACCATATAATTATTAGATCTCATCAACATTTTTATTATAAATGTATCAGTATTTTATCAAATAATGTAAGAAAACTTAATAATTATAAAATTATCTCAATTCATTTCTTTTATTCAATTTTTATTAATTAAATATTAACTAATGTTAATATTTTTTTTAACTTTCCTCAACCCACTATTAGCTTAAGATCAAGCATCTCTACCTGCTCCTACATTATCATATTTAAGAGGAACTGAGTTTCAACATTTAATGGAATAATTGATAGGGAAATAATATGGATATACTAAAGCTTAATTAGCAGAAATTGGAGGTTAGAGTGTAGCAGAATACATTCTCTATTTATCTAGAATAGATGTGCCACTTAAAAGAGTTATTTTTATTATTGGATAAGATTTCTCAGGATCCTCATATCAAAACGGATATTTTGGTTTAGCAGCTGCACGTTATTTGGCTTAAAGAAAAGTAGAAGTTGATGTTGTACTTTTATATCCTAATGATCCATTAAGAAGTAGATTAGCAATGTAATGTAAATCACATTCAGCAACATTACATTTTGATATACTTCAAAATCTATAAGAACAATTAAATGTTTAAATGACCAAGAACATTCTAGCAAATTGGTTAAATGATTATGATCTAGTTGTAGATGCCATTACACTTACTTCAATAGAATAACCAAAAACTCCTGTAAGAGAATTTATGCATGCCTTTTCAGAAGTAAGTAAAAAAGTACTAGCTATTAATTTACCTGTTGGATGGCATACAGACAATGGAAATCTGTATAATGTATATGTGCCATAGTTTGTAATCTCATTGGGATTACCTTTAAAGGGCATAAAGGAATTTGAAGGATAACATGCAATAGGTGGTAGATATATACCTTAAACAAATACTTTTAATTATGTGTTGCCTAAATATAAAATTGAAGATAGTTTCCATTTACTATAAAAGTGAATTTTATATAAATTAATTTGTCATGTTCTAAAAATTTGGATAACAACTTAAACCTATAATCAATCGATCTTCTTCTGAAAATAAAAAAGAGTAACCAATTCCTAAGCCTAATTATCATTTTACATAGAAAAGAGACAGAAGTGAATCAAGAGTACAATAATCTACAGTTGAAGATTAAAATCAGAATAGCTTAAAACCTTAATCAAATTTGATTTAGAGTGTTCCTGCTTAAAGATTGACAATAAAATTACCTGACTTAAAAGGCTATTAGAAGTAAATGGAGAAATCAACATCAGGAGCTGATTTAACAAAAAAGCCACCTCTTTTAAAGAATAGACTTATATTAGATTCTAAAACAAAATAATAGCTATAAGGATAATAAAGTTTATTAACTTAAACTCTTCCTATTAAGAGTTAAAGAGAAGAGAATTAGACAACTTAATAATAAGGAAAGAATAAAATAAAGATTACTCATTATAGTTAATCTAGAGCAGGATTTGATGGAATATAAGAGAAAACTAATCAAGATAGAGAACTTTGTTTATAATTGGATGATAATAATTATGCATTTGCAGTAATGGATGGTCATGGGATGGATGGAGAATATGTGAGTTCATTTATAAAAGAATTGTTAAAATGTATAAAAATATTATAAATGTAGATAATTTAACTAAATTTTATAAGGTATTTGATTTTCAGAAAGTATTCTTTGAAATGCATTAGAAAATGAAATTTTAGACAGAATTTGGTTGTCAATTTTCAGGTAGTACTTTAACAGTATTATTAATAAGAGAGAATACTATTTCATGTGGATGGGTTGGAGATAGTAGAGCAATTTTAGTAAAAAGAAATAATAATAATAATAATTTAAATGTAGTTGAATTATCAATAGATCATAAACCACATTTAGAGAATGAAAGATAAAGAATTGAATAAAATGGAGGAGTAGTAGATACATATCATTTACCTAATGGAGCACCTATTGGACCATCAAGAGTATGGGCAAGGGGAGCATAATTTCCTGGATTGGCAATGAGTAGAAGTTTAGGAGATACTGTTGCTGCAGCAATAGGAGTTTCATAGACTCCAGATATTAAATAATTAGAAATTGACAATAAAGAGGATATATTTATAGTTTTAGGATCAGATGGAATATGGGAATTTTTAGATAATTAGATTGTATTATGAGTTTAATAATCAAGATTGCTGAATTAGTGTATCCATTTTATTAGAAGAATGATGCTTAGGGAGCATGTTAGAAGATTATTTAGGAATCAGTGGCTGGATGGAAAGCACATAGTGAAGGAATAGATGACATTACTGCAATTGTTATTTTCTTTTAATATGAATTGTGATAATGTTAAAAATCATAATTTAGCATTTACTTCTCTCATTTTTTGAATATAATTGATGCCATTGTGCACTTATTATTTATTTAATGAATTTTCTTTTGAAGCAAAATTGTACATGTTTTAATAAACATCACCATCTTTTGGTGCAATCAAGCTTTATAATGAATTATCAGACAATCCTTATGCTTCAACTAAACTTAAAGCATTTAATCTTATTATTGGATATAGTGATTCTCTAGTATCTTATAATGTTTTTATTTATTGACTATTAATTTAATTTTCTATTTCATAAATAAATTATATTACTTAATAATAATCCTTACATGTTATTCAATAACATAGTAATACCATAAATTCTAGCTAAAACTGTTAAGATTTCTTTAGTTTCTTTTGCTTTATTATTAATAGTATCTAAGAAACAAAGCATATTAAAGTAAGGTATGAATGTAGATGCAGCTTTAGCTAAAGCAATACCAGCTTTAGTGTCCCAACTTTCTTTCATATCATTATGAGACATTAACTTTTAGGCTGCATATTTAGTTAGAATTGAACAATTCAAACCTAATAGAGTAATTAAATTATCAAGAGTTGTAACATCATCAACTTTAGCTGTTTCTAATGATAGGAATTTAAAGAATTCAGGAACTGCATTTGGTTTTGATACTACATGTTATAATTATTTAAGTAAGTATCTAGCTAATTATAAATTTAATATAGTATTTTCTCCTTCTAAAGTAATCTAAATATAATTAATAAATATATTACATTAGGAGACATTTCAAAGAAAATGACTGGTAATCCAGAATAATGAGCAAATCCATGTCCTCCACAACTTAATCTACACCATTCTGCACAATTTGCTACAAAATATGTATAATTAGCTTTGGCTCCACTTAATACAGCATGAGTTAATCCAAGTAAACTAAAATCATTTTATTAAGATATTCTATTGAAATTATCATTCACTAATTCTTTAATTTTTACACTTCCAAAAACACAAGCATAAAATTCAGCTAATAATGGGAATAATTTCTATTATTAACATTAATAATCTAAAATTCTTATTTCTTATTTATTATCATCTTTAAATTATTTTCTATATAAAGAATAACGAATAGCTATTGTTAATGCTCTACCACCAAATTTTGTATATTAATCACAAAGAATATTTCTCATATACATCATACTTCCATATCCTACTTTTGGATTACCTTATCTCTCTACTTTTCCATCTTTACTAACTTTTATGTATCTATTTAATAAACTATCCAAAGGAGCTCTAAAATGATCAAAACTCATAAATCCATTATCTTTTACTGAATAACCCATTTTTGGACCAATATCACCAATTTCAATACCTGATAATGGTTTATGAGTCTCCTTATCTCTTATTCTAATCCAAAATGGATGTACTCCATATCTTTTGCCTTCTACTTGTAATTAAGCAAATACTAAAGCAAATTCACAATACAATCCTAATTCTCCTGGCCAAACTAAGTCTTAATAATTTAGAAATACATTTAGTTGCTTCTATATTTGGAGTATGAATCACAAATTCTGAAGTTTATTTATCAAAAACAGCTACTGTTTATAAATTTTAAACATCAGATCCATGACCTAATTCTGTTTAGGCATAACATCCAAATGCATTTAGATTCTTTAATAAAGTCATCCATTTAGAAATCTATTCATCAGATGCCAAAACTTAGAATGCAGGTATGACCATGGCAAAATGGACTGTAGATATAAAGATACCCTATGGACATAATACATTTGGAGTATAATAATTTGGATCAGCCAATGATAATTTTTTCAAAGCTTCAACTGTTCTTTCAGCATTTAAAAGAATCTTAGTTATATATTAAAATATAAACTTGATCCTATCTTGACATATTGTAAAAATTATGATTAACTTTGAACAAAGGATGATTATCAAAGAAACTTTATCTCTCAAGAAATTTATCAAAGTAATCTTTGCCTCCATAAAGTAAATGTGACATCTCTAACAATGGGAATTAACCCTATTTTCTTTCAGCTTCTAACATTGTATATTTTATAATTATTTTTTATATGATGCACTTATTATGTAATTATTATAAATAATACGCACGTAAATATAACATTACATATTTCAATAATATTCATCTTCTTCAACTTCATCAAACATAGAAATAGTTGGCTACTTCCAATTCTTTTTTGTCTCATCATCAACTAAAGTATTAATTAAATAAACCATAAAAGCCTCAAGTTTATAATATAAAGGCTATTAAAATCTTTATTCATAAGTCCATTCTTTCTATATATTATATAATCTAATTTATACTTCTTCTTTCTTTCCTATTGCAATTGGAGAATATTTTTCAGCTATTCTAGCTATAGCTTCCAAAAATTCTATCCATTACATTTAAAATAATCTATCACTTTCTAATTCATCAACTTATGTCAACATTGATAAATTAAATGCTAAATTTACATCTCTTTCCACAAAATTTTCATCATACAAATTTGCTTTATTACATATATCTTTCAATTCATCTAAACACATAAAAGGTGGTTAACCTGGTTTTACTTTCTTTTATGAATTTCTCATATAAACATAATCAATAACCCATTTATATTTTTTACATACATCATCACATTATTCTACAAAATAACGTTCAGCTCTCCATTTATGACAATCAAATTATGATAAATGAGGCATACATTAATCTAAAATCATTTTTGTTGCTTAAACAATATTAATTTAAGGATTGAATCTAACATATTTATCATCTGATAATCTAACTAAGAATTCCATCATTTAATATCTTACTAAAGATCTTTCAGGATTTCTGTAATTTCCTTTCCAATCTATAGATGAAGCACTACAAGTTGCTATAAATTTCAAATCTACATCAGCCAATTTTAATTATTTTCCATCTATTAATTAACATTAATTAACAAAATCTGATGTTGGATTTACTGACATTGAAAATACATCTCCTGTAGGATTTACACTAGCATAAAATCTATATGTTTCTCTCATTGGTTTATAGGCTTACCATAACATTTCTTTAACTTAATCTTATTCTTCTTATTTTTTTACAAACTTTGTTATTTTACAACAAGCCCAATCTCTTTCAAAACATTTTCTTAATAATTCTTCAGTATCAAATTTATATTTAGGAGCCCAAATAGAAATAGGAAAACTCCAAATTCTTTTTTATTTCTTTCTTTTTGCTGGAATATAAATTGGATCTTAAGTTCTTGGTAAAACATCATATGTAGGATACCAATCTTCTATTACAGGTTTTGATTTAGTAAACTTTTCTAAATTAGTTTCATCTATCAACACATTAATTACTTAATCTGCTATTGTAACTTTAGTTCTAAATTTTTCTATATGTTATTTGATTGGAGCTGTTTGACTTGCTATTTATATTGAATTAGCAGTATAAAAATATTCAATATCTCCTGTTGGAATCATTCGATGAGTCTTAAAATTACCATTTGAATCAGGTTTCCCTAAAAATATAGGTTCAAAACCTTCATAATCAAAATGAATAAATATTGGTTCTTCAGAACAAGCACCACTTTCATCTATATAATATATTATTAAAAATACTGGGAATCCATTCAAAAGTACTCATTTACCATTCATCACAAATCCAACAAATATCTTTTAATTTCTCAAAATGTGTAGAATGTTCATATGGTTTTGGATTTGGAGATACTCCTTTAATTCTTTAATCTATATGAATAGAATTATAATTTTTCATATTGTTTTCAATAATTAGAAATCCTTTTGAATCCACATAACCAAAATTACCCCTAAAATGGAAACCATATATAGAATGATTGGATTTTAAGGCTTCTGAAATTTAAAGACAATCTTAATATGTGAATCCATTAGCTGATAAATCTAAATGTTGTACTGTTTTATTTTCAATTATAAAATCTTTAAGGGCTGTTATAATAACATTGCCAGCTCCAAGTAAATTATAAGAGAAATCTAAAACTTTAATATTTTTATTAGTTTAAAGAACTTTGAATATTTCAAGACCCCCAGATCCTTTAATAGAATTCCATCTTAGATATAATTCAAGAAGTGTGTCATTTTATTCAATCATTTGCTTAATCGATATATATGATGCATTTGTAATATTATTCTTTGATATATTGAGCATCTCTACAGATGGATTCTTACTCATGGCCTTACACAAGTCTGATATTAATGTGTCTCCTAATTAATTATCTTCTAAATTGAGAATCTAGATCCTTGAGATTGCAATTCAAATTTACTTGCATGTCTACAATGGTAAACATTATAGAATTGGGTCAAGACCTTTCTATCCGATGGTATTAGTTTGAAACTCAATTATTCTAGCTTGTTTGCTGATTAATGGAAACAACTACGATGCTCCATGTTCTTTGATTCTATTGCGATTGAAATTGAAATCTTGAATAGTAGGTAATGTTCTTAGTCCTTCTGATAATACTTCTACATATTTATCACCAAATTTTTAGTTTTAAATGGCAATCGAATTCTTATCTCCTTTAAGTTTGATTAAACCCATTTTGCATGGTAATATTTTAAGCTTTTCTGCTCTTTGGATTAGATTAGTCTACACAGAATCTATATATATTATATAAAGAAATGTACTTGTAATATTCTCAAATTGATTCTATTCTAGAATTCGTTTTATATTTTTGAAAGTGTGATAATAAGATTTATAGGCGTCATCTCCAACAAGGTCTTTAGGCTTACGGTCTAGGTAAGGTTCTTCTTGATTATTTGATAGCGTGGCATATACATCTTTCTAAACAATAACCAATTCAGTTAACATCGCTAATCAAATCTCGTTCTTTGGCAGATTATTGGATCTTATAATACTATCTGTTATAACGTTTAGGGACATTACTAGAATGTTCGTGTATCCCACTATGATAAGGTGATTTTTCAAAACCAACTAATGTTATTCTAGGTAATGCCAATGATCTCATAGAAAATTTATTCTACTAAAATATAATACATTTTTTACCAATTTTTTGGGAGTGTCAGTTTCAAGTGTTGTTATTTAATGCATATTTGTAAATTGTATTATATTATTATTAATATAATTATATAAGAATTTTATAATAATCAATTTCCAATTTCAAATGTCTCCTTTTCACTATCATTAGTTTGATCTTATTTTGAAAGTACTACTGATTTTATTTATTTTTTAATGACAATTTCATCAAATTCATCATCATCATTTTTAGATAATGTTAAAGTTTTTATTATGGAGGCTTACTTAATTATTTCTCTTTAAATAGTGTAAGATCTTGAGACACTTTAAAATTTATGTTATTCAAGTGGTACAATACTACCATTTCTTCTTTGATTTAATTATTCAGGAGATGAATTAATAAATTACTGATATTATAAAGCCACTGGTCTCACATCAGGAAGCTTATTTAATTTTTATAAAAATTACTTATGAGATCCAAATCAAAAATGGAAGTATTTATTCAAGTTCTTTATCTTATATATCATAAAAGAAATCCTTAACTTTAAAACCATTTTCTGGATTAAGTGTAAATGATAAGATTGAATTCTTAATTATAATTAATATATACTTACATCAACAATAATAATATCTTTCAAATCTCTACCTAATTTATTTAGATCTTTAGTCAAACCACCTTTTATAATTGTACAATTCTCTCTATATAATCTCTCTATAGCCTTTTTATTAGGATCAACAAAATCCATTACAGGTTTAGCATATTCTTTAAGACTTGCAGTCCATAAAATAATATCATAAAAATTGCTTAGTTCATCAATAAATTATTTAGCACCAGGTCGTACAAGGACATAAACTTTGAAATTTTATGATTAAACAACAATCTTTATATGTCACTAGAATTGTACATCTAAACAAAGATCGTAATTATCCATAGGTTAAAATTGACTATGTACTAATGTTTCATCTAAATCTAAGACTATAATTTTCTTTTATCCAAACTGAGAATTATTTGTTTATTAATACAATAAAGGATGATTTGGGTGTATCAATTTCTGGATGATATTAATTTGATGATCCTTATTTCTTTTTTCTATTAAATATTTGTAAACAAGCACATAATCGAGAAAATAGAGATCTTTGTTCTTCTTACTATTAGTATATGATTTAATTGTTTGACATTAATAATATATATTTAAATATATATTTTATATGAATTTTATCAATTTATGAAGTCTGTTGTCTATCTTCTTAAATGATGTCTACTCTAAATTCTTTTTTCATTAGATTCAGTATAATCATCAATGATCAATTTTACTTAGATTTATTTATTAAATGAGACTCTTTTAGGTGAAATAGCATTAGCCATTTATGGAGATGGAGTAGATTATAAAGGTTCAAGAATAATATGCTTTTTGTTCCGTACAGGTTAATCTTCTACTAATTCAAAGAAATCTAAAACGTCTGATTGTTGACTACTGTTCGAATTTTTTCTTTTCAATATACTTTTTGGTTAATTATTTTAGATTCCCATATCTTCAAATTTGACTAATAATACTTTTTTTTAATTTTATTGCTCTTGGTTTAAAGAGAATTTCTTATTCTTAATAATGGATTGATAAGATGATCTTTAAGTAAGAGGTTCTTATAATTAATCAAATAAACTATTTCTGCCACTCAATAATGCATCAGTTGCTCTACTCGTATGTTATATATTTTGAAGGGATTTAAATTATTGATTCATTTAGATTTCAGGTAATAAATGAGGTTTAGGCTATTATTGTTGTTATTAATTCCTATCTAAAAATTTAGGATCACTATAATATAGAGGTTTGTATAGCATGTTTAAATTAATAAATAATTTTGTTTTTTTCAATTAATATAAAGATTAGTATCATAATCATTAAAAATGTATTAATGTTCTACAAATTTATTCTCAATTTCATTAAATATCAACAATATCTATTTTTTTTAATTAAATTCATCAAATTTTGATAAAGAAACTAAACAAGATATATTGACTGACATTGTTGTTGTTTACTAAATAATTATAAACTTATTCTAAATCTTAGTATTTAATAATATTAATTTAAGAATCTAAAATCTTTGACTTTCTTATTTCATTAAATGAATTATTTTATAGTATTTTAATATTTCTAATTTTTATTATTTATCATTTATAAACAAATCATCATAATAATTATCATATAATAAAAAAAATATGAATGATTCATTTCAATTTATTGTTTAAATTTGATTGGAATTTAATATTTATAATTAATGAATACTATTTTAAGGAATTTAATCTATTTTAATATAGAATTGAATTGGATAGGTTGTCTAAATAATGTTATGAAATTATAAGTTACAAATTCTCTATATATTATATAATTTTTTATCTTTTCTTATAGGATAAATTATACATAATTAATGTTTCAAGAATTTTTACAAGAATTGGGTTCTCTAAAAATTACAGAGCTTTCCTTTACATTTCGAAATTAATTCAAAATTAAAGAAAACTTCATCAACCCTAACAGTAAACATTTTGATTCGATTGCTCAAAAGTATACTATTATTATTATGAAATTATTATAGATTATTGTCTGAAGAAAAAGCAAGTATTAAACGTAAATGGGACAAATAATGTAAAATGATGTTCATTTGGATATTGGGAAAGTTCTTTTAATTGAAAAATAAGAAAACAATCAATCCTAATCAAGAAGAATGGGGATAATTATCAAATATTCTAAAAATAGATGAAATCACTCTAAAATAAAGATGGATTACTCTTATTAATCCAGTATCTAAGAGTATTAATTGGGATCCAGAAGAGGATGAAATCATTCGATCGCTTATGAAGTATTCAATATTCGTATTTGTAATAAAGTGAATAGGATGAAAAACATATATGGACACATATAGCTTTAGAATTGTATAATTAAAATAATGGACAATACATCAGAACACCAAAATAGGTTAGAGAAAGATGGATGAATTATTTAAATCCAAAACTAAAAAAGTATAAATGAGAATTTAACAAATTAATAGAACTAATTGGAATTAATAAGAAGATCTTTAATTATTAAATATGGTTGTTAAGAATGGAAAGAGATGGTCATTAATATCCAGTCTTTTGGATGGTAGAACAGAAAATCAAGTTAAAAATAGGTAATCATTTTATATATTTTAAATAGATTTAAGAGTTTAATCCAAAAAATATACAAAGATGAAGATGATGATGATATAGAAGAATTAGAAGCTATCAAAGAGTATTTAAATAAATAAAATGTATAACAAATATAGGAACCATAAAAAGAAGAATCTCAAATTAGAAAGACTTATTTGAGATAAGTTAAATCTAAAACTGATCTAAAATAATTAAATAAAATTGAAGAACTAGAAGTATTAACAAAAAAAAGAAAGGCTATAAAAGATGTATTATAAATTGATGAATAAGTGAATATTAATTCATAAAAGGATTTATAATTTACATCAAAATAATAAAATAATAAAGTAAAAGTAGAAGAAAATAGACAAGATATATAAGTAGAACCATAATAATAATAATAAATTTTATTTGAACAATAATAAAAGATGTAATAATATTTCTAATCCTAATTATTAAATGAAAATAATAAAAAAGATCTCTCAACTCCTAATACTTTATATTATAATATTTAACCATCCTTTTAAAAAATAGAAGAATTAAAAAATGATTAATATGCATTTAAATAAGTATAATAATCTCCTATTTAATAATCCAATTAATATTTATATTAAGGATATAGAACTTATTAAGAAGAAATGTAATAATAATTTTAATAAACTCCTGTGTAAATGTTAATGGGATAATATTTTAAGAATTATCACTAAAATTACAATTTAATTTCTCCTTTCCCATAAGTTAATTAAACTCCTATGGTTTACACTCCTGCCTAAGCTATGTATATTTATAATAATAATAATCCTTATAATATGGGTGTTTCACCTCTTTTGATTAGAAGTCCATATCCTGAGAATTTATCACCAAATATTGTTCCATAATAGTAACAACTTTAGGGTATTTGGTAAAATCCTCAATAAACATCGATGGAGTATTTACAGAATGAATAAAAGTTGTCTATGGTAAGAATATTTATATATTAATTTTAGAATAAATTAGAATTTCTATAATCTAATAACTTAGTTGATAAATGGAAATAGAAAAGAGTAAATGAAAAGTAGAATACTTCATTTCAGGAATCCTTTTAATCACTTGATTAATGAATTATTTTTGTTTAATGATCTATTTATCATTAAATAATTTCAACATCATTTAAGAATTGTGGCTATCTATAACCATGTTTATGTATATATGTTTTATAATATCGAGATCCTGGAGAGTGATTAATCTATTAATTAAGTAAACGAATTTTTTCTTAATTTTAGATTTGAAACTCATCATCTCTTTATTTTTTTTGAACTTATAATTTTCTTAATAAATTATTCTTCTATTTTTACTCATTAGGTTTAATATCTTATTTTAATGGTGAAGTTTTTTTGAAAAATGGATCTTCATCTTCCATTTTGATTTATCTAATTTTTTAATATTAATCATCATGTAATAATTAATTAAGATGTGTATGATGTTAATAACTATTTCTTCTATTGTGAAATTTAATTGATTTTTCTAATTTAGTTAAATATTAGAATGATTTATTGGGCTACATACTTACCATATATTTAGGTGTAGATATTTTACCAATATTCTCTTAATATGGTAATTTGTCAGAAAAAGTGAATACTCTAAATTTTTTATTGGATAAACTATCCTCTACAATTTATTACTTAATTTAAGGAGAATAATTAAATAGATGATCTAAAGTTTTTACTCTTAATAATTTATTCTTATTCATATTTTATTATAATTAATTAACTATCAATAATACAATGATCCTGATCTTTCATGAACTGCTCTATTAGCTGCTAACTTTGGAGTTGAAAATCCTTTACTTGATACTAAATATCTTTAATTTTTCTCCCAAAATCCATCATTTTTTATATTTTCATCATCATCATTCTCCTCTCCTTCAATTTTCAATAAATCATCATCAATATCTTCAAAAACTCCTAATTACTCATTATTTTCTTATTTAATATTTTTTAATATCTCTTATTCTTTTTTAGTTGGATTTTCAGGATTTACAAAATCTAATATAATTGAACTTTATTTATCAAAAAAATATAGCGAAATTGTAAAGATAATACCAAATACTGAAACACCACTATAGAAGAATCCCACAGTTGAATATCCTTCTTCTTTAGTAGTAGCTCCCTCTACAATATACCCAGCTAAAATTGGGAATAAGGCCATAGAAGTACTAGTAAACATTCCCAAAATTCCAAATGCAGTTCCTATAACTCTTTATTAAACTACATATTAAACTGATGGTATTAAAACACAACAATATAAAGAATATGACATTCCCAACATTATTAATGGAATAATAGAAAACCAATTAGGTTAATCATGATAACCTTACTTCATAAAACCAAAAAGGAAATGAGTTACTGAAAAAAAGAGACAAGTAATTAATATGAAGAATCGTCTCTTACCCACTTTATCCACATATGGACCTAAAAATGGACTAGTTATAGCTATATATATTACATTAATACCAGCAGCTAAATAAGTTAAAGTTAGGATTCTTCCAGATTAAACATAACTGAATTCAAATTTTTCTTATAAAAAATCATTAGCATCATCTAAAAATGGTACATATGATCCCATTGATAGTGTGCATATTAATATTAGAATCCAAAATGTTCCATTTAAACTTTTGATATCTTTAAAGGATACTTTTTCAACTTATTCACTCTTTTCACTTGTATTATCCTTATATACGAATTATAATTCTTTTGGTTTAAATTATTTGTTTACCTTTCTATTTCTTATCATTGTTTTTATCTAAAATACACAAAACTACTCCACAAATAAATGATAAAAAGCATAAAAATACACTAAAGAATAATGGATAAGTCAAGCCATTAAAATGATCATATATTGTAGGTGTTACAAAGGAATTAGCTGCTGATGCTATTTCTGGCATTGTCATTATATATCCAATGGCTGTTGATAATTCTTTTCCTCTAAACCATTTACTAATAATAGCTGTTTATGCTATAAGTAGACTTTCAGAAGCAGTCCCAAAAAGTACTCTTCCTGCTAACATTATCCAGAAACTCTTAAAAAATCCTCCAAATGCTATGATAGTCTAAGCAATCACAACAATTGCACTGAATCCCAATATAGCCACTCTTATACCTTTATGTATTAGATATTAATTTTACCTAAAACATCAATAATAACTCCTCCAATTAGAGTTAAGAAAATGTTTGGAAATGAAAAAGCTGTATACATTAAATTATATTTGGAAATGCTAATATTCAAATCTTGTGTTAATTATCTCTAAAGAGCTTAAGGATTATCGAAAGAGTAATTATTTCCAAACATTAAGAGGCATGCTAAAATTAACATAATATATTTAAGAGAAGACTTCTTTTCTTATTTTTGTTCTTATTCTACATCAACTTACTCAGAATAAACCGTGTTTTTATTTACATTATTTTCAACACTATCATTAACTTTCATTTGTTTTATGACTATTTTATAGTTTAGACAAAAAGTAAATTATAAAAATTAATGACCATAAATTTGTCACATACTTAATCATTAAATTATAAGAATCAAAAACAAATAAATTTACTTAAACTTTCATTCATGTTTTCTTATTCTTTTACTTTGCTTATCAATCCTATTGATAAATTTAATCAATGTATTGTAATCATCTTTATTTAAATAAGTAAATTCTTCATTCATTTTATCAATTTGTTCTAGAAAATCATCATCTTTTTCCAATTTGTAATCATACTTTTTCTTACTCTCAGACTTAGATAATATGTTATAAGCCTCATTAATCTCTTGGAATTATGTAATTGCCTAAGCTCTACAATTAATATTCTTATCCTGTTGGTAGATTAATTATATATCATACTGGATGCCATTTTAAAGCTAATTTATGATATGCTTCCTTTATTTAATGTTTTTAAGCATTTCTATCTAACCCCAATGTTATATAATGATTCTTCATTATTTTTAATCATTATCAGAAAGACCAATTCTTTAGAATTAATCTATATGGAAATTCTGGAACATAGTTATTAATAATTTATTATGATATTATTCATATTCATTCTTCTGTTGGATTACCCAAAATTTAAAAGTTTTTTCCTCTAAAATCTCCAGCTTATCCTCTAAGTTTAACATATTCTGCAAAATCTCTTTAATTAGCTGAAAATGCACCAATAATTTAAGATACTAATTATCTTTTTTATTCTCTAATATATTATTATAAAATAAAAATTACCTTTTTTCTCTAGTTAATTAATAATTATATGCCTTTTCTCTACATTCACCACCTCTATCTTCACTTTATTTATTTTTAGCATCCAATCTAGCATTATAATCACTTAAATCTCTTTTTTAATCTTATATTCTATTATCTAAACCTAAGATAGCAGCTGTTAATTAAGCAAGAGCATTATTTAAACTGGTTAAATCTTTATCAAAATTACCCTTTTCTAACATGAACATATTCAATCTCTTTTATTCTGCTTTAGTTTCCAATGCTTTACTATCTTCAATTTATTTAAGCATTAAATCACATAAATTAACAATTTTATTAACAGTAGGTGAATTCTAAAAATCTTCAGTTTAAGCAGCATTAGCAATTTCAGCAAAAACATTGAACATCTTAGAATAACTTTTTTTGATTTCAAATTTCTCTAAAAAATATAATAATAATATATATTTACTTGCTTATTCAGAAGCATTAATAAAATAATCTCTAACTTTTTACCATTATGATTCATTATTCATTTATAAAAAACTTTAATTTTTATCTGAAAACATTCTTCTAACTGTTTCAATAACAAATGTTGCATAATCATGTTCTTCAACTTTTTTATCAAATTCAGCTTTCTCTGTTTCTCTTTTCTTAACTAAATCAGCTAATTTCTTTTCTGTTTCTACTTTCCATGCATTCTTTGCATCATATTAACCTTATTTATATGATCTTAATGGTTCTAATTCATCTAAAATTGATTAGATTTCAACTGTTCTTCTTTCTAAGTTTGCACTCTCTTATTGTAATATTTTAATATCTTCTGTGCATTAATTTTAATATTCATTATTAGCTTTATCATCTTCTTTTTATTCATTTTCAATTGATGTTTCTAAGTTTCTCATTATTTCAATGAATCTAGCAATTGGTTCACCTGTACTCATTTGCATTTATAGAGTATCAATTAATGTTCTACCAAATTCATCTTCATCAAATGCTCTAAATTGATCAAATTTATCTGCTATAGCTAAAGCTATTAAGCAAAGCACCAAAATTTTCATTTAATAAATTAATTAAAAACGAATTCCATTAAGAATTAACAATTATTTAATTATTATTTTAAAAAATGTCAATTATAGAAAATGAAGAAATCCTTAATAATTATATGGTTAAAAATTTATAGAAAGGTAAAGAAAGAGAAATTCATAGTGATTTCTATGATTATAATCCATTAACTTCAACATTTTAATGTTATGGATGTCAAAAATAAAAACCAAAATAAGTCTCATTATTATTATCTAATTAAAAAATTAAAAAGAAAAGAAAGACATTAGAAATTTATAAAATGAATGATATCATTATAAAACCTTGGCATCCTTTTTTAAGAGAATTTTAAAAAATATTTAAAAACTCAATTACTCCTTAACATAAATAACTAAATTATTTAACAGAGTATCATAAACCAGATATTGTATTATAATTATATGAAGTTATTCGCAGATTAAGAGAATAATTAGAAGAAAATATTAAATAAATTTAAAAAGGTGAAATTTCAGTAGCACCCATTCTTGAAACATTAGCAATATATTCAATAGATGAAATTGAAATTAATTATGAAACATTACACAATAGTACTAAGTCTATTCAATAAGATTCTACAAGAAAATCATTGGCTAGTTCAAGTATAAGATATTAAATGTAAGAAAAGAAAATATAACATTATAAAGAATAGTGGGAAATAGTTAAAGAGTAAGTAGTATTATTAGAATAGAATAATACCATAGGTTTGAAATAATAAATAGAAAATACAATAAGGGCATAGAAAGAAATCTAATATTTAAAGAGTGTTTTGAAAGAAACTTAGGATCATCTTATGATAATTGAAAGAGATAAGGAATAATTAATTAAAGAAAATTACTTTTTATTTCAATATGCCTAATTAGATAGACATTATTTATTTATTAGAATTATGGAAGTATAGTAATAATCATATGTAGTAATATCCAGTAGAATAATTAAAAGAAACAGATATATCTTATTTTGAAATCTATCTTAAAGAATTAGAAAAAGAATAAGCTAAATTAAAATTAGAAAATACAAAATTAAAAATTCATCAAAATCATTTAGAAAAGGAAACAGAATTCATAAAATAAGAATCATTTTCATAATTTTCTAATGAATTTTAAACTTAAGAATAAAAATGGAATATTGAAAAAAATTAATTAGAGAAAACACTTTAATAATTAAAATAAGATTTACAGATAAGTTAGAAATTTGAAAAGGAATTAAGGATTCTTAATTAAACATTATAAGGAGAATAAGATAAATTAAGAAAATAATTATTTGAATATCAAACTGGTATGAACAACATCAGTCATCAACATTTAATATAGAGATAATAAAATGAATAATTATTAAAATAGAATTAAGAACTTCAATAAACTATATAATTATTAGAATAGTAAGCAATAGGTAATAAATAATAATTTAATAAAATGAATCCTAATGATTAAGCTTAATAATTAGCATTAATTATTCTATCTAAACAATAACCAAATCAAGAATAAATTAAATTACTTTAATAAGTATTTGGAGAATTTACTGATTAAATAATATAGAATTAATTAGAATAAAATTAGAATGAATAAGCTGAAAAATTGATTCAATAATTATAAGATTTAAGAAATTTTAAAGAAAAACTTGAATTCTAAAATAGATTAACAAATAAATAAATAGAAGAAATAAGAAAAGAAATTGAATATGCTTTTTTATTGAATGAAACTTAATAATCTTAAACAAAAATCGGTAGAAAATTAAATTATGATATTTAAGATTAAACTTAATTTTATTAATCTATAGTAAGAATTAATGAAATTTTGAATAGTAAAGAAGAAGATCTAACAAAATTTAATAGGTTAAAAAGTTAATCTCCTATAAATATGAAATAGGAAATATCTTAACTTCATTGTTTATTATTATTATAAGCATTATCTTTAGAAGAAATGATTCTTAATAGTGAATAAAATTAAATTGAGAATTTCTCAGATCAAGATATTAAAAGTTCTAATGAAAAAGAATAATAACCTTCTGATTTTTATGCTATAGATGAATAAGAAATAGAGGAAAGTTCTCAAAATGATTAAGATGAAGATGTTGAAGAGAGTTCTATCCATTAACCAGAACCATATTAGGAAGTAGAAAATTAAAGAAAATGAATTCTCTTTTAATTAAGGTTTATATTATATTAACTTTTAATTTCTATATCATTAATTAAAATTTTAATTATTTGTTTCATTTTATCCAATAAATTAGATGTTAATATATGTATATAATTTATAAATAATTTTAATTTAATTTATGAATAAAATCAATATTAAAAGGAGAGATATATAATAACAAATTTTATTTATATATTTATCCGTTAATAATTTACCCAATGAATTCAACCATTAGATAACCACTATCACTACATAACTCAATTGATAAGAGAGAAAATAGACCTGAAACTAAGCAAGATGCAAAACCATTCTCATTCATAAAACCAGGTATATCAAATTATCAACCATTGTCATAATCAAATACTTAATTACCTCCTTAATCTCCTATGACTATACCACAATAGATTTCTAAATAATCAAAGCCCAATTGTTCTATTTAAGATCTGGAAACTTTTATAAAGGAAATAGATAGATTACAAATAGAGAATCAAAAATTGAAAGAAAAGACTTAAGAACCTTAAATAGTAGTCCAATAAGATCCAAAATTAGTACTGGAAAATCAAGAACTTAAAGTATATATTTTAATATATAAATTATAGGATTAATTGGATTTCCATAAACACAAATGTGAATTATAAGAGAAGAGTAATAATGATGCAGTAAGATAAATTGATTTAAGTTGGAAATAAGATATAGCTAATTTGAAATACTCAATGGAATAATAAGAATCAAAGCACAGATAAGCTTTGAAATAAGAATAACTATAGGCAAAATAGGAAATTGCTAGACTTTAATAGAACTTATCATAACTTTCTAGTTCAGATAATAAGAATTAAAGTCTTGTTTAAGCATTAGTAAATATTATAATTTAATTATAGGAAACTTAATTAATAAATTTAAAGAAAAATAATAATATTCTAGAAGAAAAGTTGTCATATGCAATTTAATAATTTGATTCATAATCAAAAGATTAAGAGTTTACTTTATTAAAATAATAAGCTGTAATTGGTTCTTAGGAACAACATGTAACT